AAACTCTTTGCACACCTCTCAGTTGTCTACATAACCCCTTTTCATCACCCTTTCCCATCTATTCTTCTCTTAGTAGAGGAGATATACGAAGAGTATTTTTCCTCTCCTTGGAGTGGCTCCGACAACTTCATAGTTAGTTTATTTTGGTTAGGTTTTTTGTTTTTTTTTCTTAGGGTTTCCCTCTCTAGTGACAGCTTAAATCCTAAAGTCTTGTATGCATTTTTCTATCATTTTTCTTTTAAACCCCTAAACTCCCGTAATCCCTAACTCTTGTAGTGTCAATGATCATAAACTCCCCTAAATATTAATCTCTTGTAGCCTCTACAATCATTTTATCAGACTTTAAGGAAAAGATTTGTATGTAATATAATTTATTTTGGATTGTGATAAGGTACCGGATGACATTCAACAAAATGATATGTCCAGTTTTCATATGTTGTTTATAAATTTTAATATTTTAATTTCAAACTTTAATGTTATGATGCTAACTGAAGAAAACTATCATAGAGATGACTATAAATTAGCTAGGATACCTCAACAAATATATTGCCATACATCACCCATGTGTCAGACGGAAAATAAAAAGGATGAAATGTCTGAAACAATATCCATCGTGAGTCCTTAACCTTCTATTTAAACTACTTTGTATATTTTATATCACTAATATGATCTCTTATTTTGTTTGATAGTAATAATTGTGATGTTTTTGTTATGAAGTTCATTAAGTCCCTAATCTATAATCAATCTCTCGATATGCAACAACAAGACATGTACCGGTATCGACTGAACATTGCACAATCTATTATTGAACGTGATGATAGAAAATTTTATTTCTTGGATTCATGATCCACTTTATTTGACGTGATGATAGCAAAAATTTACTGATATAATTTTTGTTGGGATGAATTGTTTGTTATGTGGTTGTAAATGACTATGGTGGTTTTTGGGTTGCATTGGAATTTATAGTGTTTTTTTGTTCATGTTACAGTGTTCTTAGTATACTAGATAAAATATTTCGATAAATTGTGCAGTTTTGTTAGGTTATAGTGTTACAGTGTTTGGTTGTTATGATATCCATATATACTGGTTTGTGTGATTTATAATTTAGGAATTCTGATTATGTGATTTACAATGTTATATGTGTTTTGGACAAGTACAATATTATTGTTACAGTGTTTTGTTGTATATGAGTTTTGGCCAATCAATCTTTAAAGTGTTTTAATATATCATTACAGTGTTTTACGATATTGTTAGTCATTTCAATGCAATCACTAATACATTGTATAGTTCTGGAGAAGATGTCATCTTGTTTCAAAGCATTCACATCAAATCTTGATAGGTTGTGGGTTAAATTAAAACTATTTTACTTTCCTGGAGGATATCAACCCAGTTTCTTCTGATATGTTTTCAACAACGCCATAGAAATACTATAAGCTAGTTAAAAAATATTGTATAGCTTTAAAGGAACTACATATCGATGTCACATTAAATCTTGTTAGGTTGTGAGTTAGATTTAAACTATTTTGCTAGGGTGGAGGATATTAATCAACCATTAACGATATGTTTTCAACAACGTCACAGAAATATTATAAGTATACTTAAAAAATAATAAACCCCAGTATTTGCACACTTATAATGTCAACCACAATAAAACAAAGCGATACAAGCAAAAAATAATGTATTTCAAAAACATAAAAAAAAAATGTGTAATATGAATTAAGATGAATCTTTAGACTGATATTCATGATGGGCTTAGGGAAAGATATCTCTTTAATAGTTGTAAGAATATGTAAGTTCTGATAACTATGTGATACAACTATGTGATACAACTTTATAATTTCTAATGCCCCACTATTTTGTTAGGATCAAGAGGTCGGCACTAAGAGAGGGGGGGTGAATTAGTGCAGCGGTAAAATAATGTCGGTTTAAAAATTTTATTACGATAAAATCGATTTCGTAAAGATGTTAACTTAAAAGCATGTTCGTAAAGGAGTAGTGGATGTAAAGAGCAAGTAAGAAGGTTTACAGTTAAAGTAAATTGCACAAATAAAATACAAGCCAGATTTTAGAGTGGTTCGGTCGTCGTAACCTACATTCACTTCGTCGATTCCTCTTCTATTGAGGCCACCGGTATCCACTATTGGTCTTCCTTCAATAGGCAAAGATCAACCATATTTTACACCCCTCTTCTCCTTTTCCTGAGTTTAGGAGACAACCCTTATAAGCACTCACTATTCTCTTACATAATTTTAAACTTAGAGTGGAGGAAATTTCTAAAAAGATTACAGCAGTGTTTCTTCACTTTTAAATACTCTATGCTTGTATATTTTAACCAGGGATGAGAG